GAGCAATATTTTGTTGAGAGGTGATTAGATGTCCTTGTTTGTTTCCTCTCTGTTGTTGTGATAAAAACTCTAAAATTAGAACACTACATGTAGTGGCCTCCTCCCGTTTTGAGAAACTTTAGGATAGCATATGAGCTCTTTTGCACTGCCTCTGCTACGTAATCCACATGTACTTTCTTGTTTCCAGTGCAGTGGTAGAATACTCCCAGGTATCAACCAGTCTTGTTGCCATAATCTTGGGTTTTTTTATGTTTAACTGCAACCCAGCTTTTGCGCTTTCTTCTTTCACCTTGATTAGAAGGCTCCTCAGTTCCTCCTCACTATCGGCCATCAAAGTGATATCATCTGCATATCTAAGGTTGTTAATGTTTCTTTCAGCAATTTTAACCCCAGCCTTGCATTCGTCAAGCCCCGCACATCGCATGATGCCAATGATGCCTCACCAAATATAAAACTCAAGATTCCGTAGCATTGAGTTACTTCGCTTAAATTGCTGCCAAGCTGCATTAATTCTACCACGTGGATGCACCCTGGGTCATTGAATGACCACTGTTATAATGCCTGCCTTTGAACTGTGCATTATTAGGCGTCCTTTGTGGGATAGCGCCTATTGCAAATACAATCTCTGCTTATCACATATCTGCAATAACTTCCTATTCCTACCAGAAGCAGCCTGTCTTCTGCTTCCAATGGCAGTGTCTCCACTTCCTGTGCCGTTTGCAGAGCAACTAGACACACTGTCTGGGTTTTTGCTTAACTTCCTCTCTCTCTCTCTCTCTCTCTCTCTCTCTTTCTCTCCAACCCATTTGGATGAGCAGAAGAATTTGCAGATGTTTCTCAGATTGGATGCAAAGGGTCACTCTTCCGCGGAGTGGAGCTTCCTGGCGGTGGATTGCATGGCAGGGCTGGTTGGCTTCTCTGTTCATTTATGAGAAGCAAAGGGGATACAAATAGAAGGAGGATAGACATTCCCTGCACTGGTGGTGGGACATCATGCAACAATTGGGTTGCCATTATCAGAATAGACCCAAGCCATGGTTTCAATGCAAAAGCCTGAAACCTAGCAGTTGCGCTAATGTTAGTGCATTATTATGAGGATGTCATGAAAACACACCACACAAATACATTTATATCGGATAAATATCGGACAGATATCCTGTCAGAAATATTAAATATTAACTAGGTGTTTCTGATTACAAAAGAGTGAGTCAAGCACTGAAAGAGTTAGTAGTCTGAAGCCTGTTAGAGTTCGTTGGTCAAAGTTAGTGTCGTCCTGAGGAGAGTGAGTAGGCCGAAGAGTTAGTTGGCCAAAGCTGGTGTCATCCTGAGGAGAGTGAGTAGGCTGAACCTGTTAGAGTTAGTTCGCCAAAGCAGGTGTCATCCTGAGGAGGATGAGTAGGCCGAAACCCATTAGACTTAGTTGACCAAAGCTAGTGTCATCCTGAGGAGAGTGAGTAGGCCAAACCTATTAGACTTAGTTGGCCAAAGCTAGTGTTGTCCTGAGGAGAGTGAGTAGGCCGAAGACCTTTAGAGTTAGTTGGCCAAAGCTGGTGTCATCCTGAAGAGAGTGAGTAGGCTGAACCTGTTATACTTAGTTGGCCAAAGCTAGTGTTGCCCTGAAGAGAGTGAGTAGGCCAAAGCCTGTTAGACTTAGTTGGCCAAAGCTGGTGTCGTCCTGAGGAGAGTGAATAGGCTGAAGGCTGTTAGAGTTAGTTGGCCAAAGCTAGTGTCATCCTGAGGAGAGTGAGTAGGCTAAAAGCTGTTAGAGTTAGTTAGCCAAAGTTGGTGTCGTCCTAAGGAGAGTGAGTAGGCCAAAGCCTGTTAGTTGGCCAAAGCTAGTGTTGCCCTGAGGAGAGTGAGTAGGCTGAAGCCTGTTATTGTTTGTTTGCCTCAGTGAGGGAACTCCTCAGTCTTGTGTGTGAGAAGCTTCAGTGAAAGAAGCCCCAGGTTGAAGGGTACTGCGTGTAAATTTACATGCTTGTGATGGAGGCCCTTGTGACAGAGGTGGGAGCGAGAGAAGGGCCTCCCCAGCAGATCTTAAAGCCTGTGCAAGTTTATGGGAGAAGATACAATAGCAACGATAGGCAAGACCCAAAACATTTAGGGCTTTATAGGTGATAACCTCCACCTTGAATTGGAAGCGGAGGCTTATCGGCAGCCAGCGGATTCAGTTGTCTGTTCCCTATAATTAGCTGCAGTTATCAACCTGGTCACCAACCTTTGTACTAATTGCAATTTCTGGAACATCTTCAAAGGCAGCCCCATGTAGAGTGCATTACAGTAATCCAATCTCGAGGTAACTAAGGTGTGGACCAGCGTGGCCAACTCAGACTTCTCGAGAGACGGTTGGAGCTGGTGCGCAAGCTTTAACTGTGCAAATTCCCTGCTGAAAACTAGGGGTTTTCAAAGGAGGTAAGACTAAAAAGTCACAAAGCTAAGTCTAGGGAAACCCCTGCATATGTTTCATCATATTACAATTGGATTTTTTTCCTCTGTAATCTTGGTTTTAGAACTTGGTTTCTTATCATTTTTAATACTTTCCCTTGCTTTTGATAATAAACATTTATAAAACATATGAAGCATTTCACACAAATTTAGTTCATCCTTTAGTTAAACTGAAAGTGTTTCTCTTGTGAAGTTTGTAAAAGTGATTTTCTTGGAACAAAACTCCCAGAATCCCACATTCAGCCACTAACACAAAATGAAAATTTCCATGCCATGTATACCAAGAACATAAGTATATATTGGAAAGGCCCTCACTTTAACTAGAATGGAATCCAATCTGGATTTTTTAAACCCTTCCAAATACATTCAAGTCCAAGACTAGGTAAATTCATTTAAAATTTTTCTAGTGAATTAGGTTTCAATGGAACTGATGATGGGAAATTGGGGGGAATACACTTTCTGCCATGTTGTTGTTGTTGTTGTTGTTGTTTCTTCGTTCAGTCACTTCCGACTCTTCGTGACCTCATGGACCAATCCACGCCAGAGCTCCCTGCCGGCCGTGGCCACCCGCAGCTCCTTCAAGGTCAAGTCAGTCCGTTCAAGGATACCATCCATCCATCTTGCTCTTAGTTGGCCTCTCTTCCTTTTTCCTTCCATTTTCCTCAGCATCATTCTCTTCTCCAAGCTTTCCTGTCTTCTCATGATGTGGCCAAAGCGCTTCATCTTTGCCTCTAATCTCCTTCCCTCCAGTGAGCAGCCGGGTTTTATTTCCTGGAGGGTGGACCGGTTGGATCTTCTTGCAGTCCAAGGCAGTCTCAGGAATTTCCCCCAGCACCACAGTTCAAAAGCACCTTTCTTCCTTTGCTCAGCCTTCCTTATGGTCCAGCTGTCACATCCATAGGTTACAACGAGGAATACCATTGCTTTAACAACCATGGACAGCGAGTGGAGAGAGGAAGCCTGGTCTCTGAGAGGTCCCCTCTATCTTGTGGGGTTCCTCAGGGGGCCATTCTCTCCCCTCTGTTGTTTAACATCTATATGCGACCACTTGCTCAGCTGGTTCGAGGTTTGGGGCTTGAGTGTTACCAGTACGCTGATGACACTCAGCTGGTGCTGAGGATGGAGGGCAGACTGGACTCTGTACCCGATTATTTTCATCAGTGCCTCGAGGCCGTTACTGGATGGCTGCGTGCCAGCAGGTTGAGGGTGCATCCAGCAAAAACGGAGATCCTATGGCTGGGTCAACCGGGCAGTGGGGACATCCAGCTGTCTACCCTGGATGGTGAGGCGCTATGCCCATCATCATTGGTAAAGAGTCTGGGAGTCCTTTTGGACCCTCTGCTGACGATGGAGGCCCAGGTCTCCGCCGTTAGCAGAACCGCCTTTTTTCATTTGCGGAAGGCTAGATGGCTGACCCCCTACCTGTCCAGGGACGACCTAGCTACGGTGATCCAGGCCACAGTCATCTCAAGACTGGACTACTGAACTACATTGGTCTTCCTCTGTAGGTGATCCGGAAGCTCAAGTTGGTACAAAATGCAGCTGCTCGGCTTCTTGCGGGAATTCCGATGAGATGCCACATAACACCAATCTTACTGCAGCTGCATTGGTTACCAATTGAGCTCTGGATTACTTTCAAAGTGATAGTACTCACCTTTAAGGCCTTGCATGGTCTGGGGCCGATGTACCTGAGGGACCGCCTCACCCCCTACCAATCCCAGAGATCCCTCCGTTCTGAGGACCAAGATCTATTGGAAATTCCCAGTGTCAAGACCTTGCGTCTAACAGCAACCAGATGCAGAGCCTTTACAGCAGTGGCACCATCACTCTGGAATACTCTACCACCTGAAGTCCATGCCTTGCGGGACCTATCAGCTTTCTGCAGGGCATGTAAGACATATCTCTTTCGACAGGCCTTTGATCTCTGATATTGTTATTTTTAAATTGTTTTTAAATTGTTTTAAATTGTTTTAAAATTGTGTTAGATTTTAGCCTGTTCTTGTAAGCCACTCCGAGCCCCAGGGGAGTGGAGGCATATAAGTTTGAATTATAAATAAATAAACAAACAAACAAACAAACAAACAAACTATGTGGACCTTCATTGCCAGTGCGATATCTCTACTCTTCACTCTTTTATCAAGATTGGTCCTTGCTCTCCTCCCAAAAAGGAGGAGAGCCTTCTGATTTCCTGGCTGCAGTGTGCAGCCAGTTCCTAGAAATACAAACCCTGTCTCCGTCTCCACGTTTTCTCCCTCTACTTGCCAGGTATCAATCAATCTAGTTGTCATACGATCCTTGCTATAGCTTTCTGCCATATTCATCCCTTTTATTTTATGGAGTTTTAAAAAATGATTATGTCTTTGTTTATGTTTTAGCAATGCTGCAACCTACCTCAAGCTGTGAGGAGAGGCGGGCAAGAAATAAAACTATTCGTGTTATTATTATTATTATTTACAAATTGGAACCTTTAACAGATAAACTATATTTCTTTCAACTATTTATTAGTATTTGTAAGATGTATGAATGCATCTAATGTCACACAGAATAAGAACAGATTCTGATGTTTAAAGAAATGCTTTTATTGCATTGATTTTCCACTTTTCCCACATGATAGAACCCAACATTGTCTATTTGCAGTCTTCCCATTATGCCTTCAAAAAATTACCTTGAGACCATGTCCATTGCAAATATGAGTATTATATTTCCATCACAAAACACTGGAAGAAAATGCCTTTATAAATGACACATCTTAAAATCTCTTTCATTCTCATCCACCAATGCCATTGGGACATCAGGTACAGAACATGGAGAGTTTTGCTTGAAACCTTTGGGTTCCCTGTGACTTTTCCTTCTTTTGCCTTTTCCTGAAACACGCCAAATTGATGCTTTCCTTAGAAATAACTCTCCTACCACCACCACTGTCAAACCGGGATAAAAAATCCCACAGAGTGTTAGGTTAAGCATGCTTTTCTATCTACCATCATCTATAGAAAACATCTATCGGACAGATGGCAAGCTATTTAACCTCAGCAGACTGAAAGCCAAAACTGTCACAACAACATCTGCTATAAAACTCCAATATGCTGATGATAACGTAATCTGTGCACCTACAAGCGACTTTAAACACCTTTGCAGAACACTGAGAAAACCAAAGTGCTCTTCCAGCAGTCACCAGCCAATCTCTCTGCAATGCCAGAAATACAGTGTAACAGTGGTGTAACACTAGAAAATGTTGACCATTTCCGCTACCTCGGCAGCCACCTTCCCACAAAAATCAACATTGACACTGAAATACAACACCACCTGAGCTCTGCAAGTGCAGCATTTTCCCAAATGAAGCAGAGAGTGTTTGAGGATCGGGACATCCGTAGGGGCCTGTTTATAAAGCCATTGTCACCCCAACCCTGCTATACGCCTGCAAAACGTGGACTGTCTACAGACGTCACACTCAATTCCTGGAACAATCCCATCAGCATTGCCTCCAAAAAATCCTGCAGATCTCTTGGGAAGATAGTGCGCTGGAAGAAGCAAAGACCATCACCATTGAAGCGATACTCCTGCGCCATCAACTCCACTTGACTGGCTACATTGTCTGAATGACCGATCACCATCTCCCAAAGGAGTTTCTATACTCCCAAGCCAAGAACGGAAAACAGAATGTTGGCGAACAGGAAAAGAGATTTAAAGATGGGCTTAAAGCCAACCTGAAAAACTGTGGCATACACACTGAGAACTGGGAAGCCCTGGCCCTTGAGAGCTCTAGCTGGAGGTCAGCTGTGACCAGCAGTGCTGCAGAATTCAAAGAGGCGTGAATGGAAGGTGAAAGGGAGAAATGTGCCAAGAGGAAGGTGCGTCAAGTCAACCCTAACTAGGGACTGTCTTCCACCTGGAAACTGATGTCATCACTGTGGGAGAACATGCAGATCAAGAATAGCGCTCCACAGCCACCTATGGACCACCACCAAGCCACTACACTTGGAGGACCATCATCCTTGGCTACAAAGGATTGCCTAAGTAAGTAAGTAAGCTTTTGTCTGCTTGATTTTGGTCTCCAAATACTACATTGTTCTGCGGAAGAAATCATTTGGACACATGGTGGTGTACACAAATGTTCATTGGAACTAACGGAAGTATAGAACAGCCAGACACTTTTCTTCCATGTGACAGATTCACAAGTCCAAAAATGTCTTAAAGGATAAAAACTTCCCATGTTACCTGCAAATGCCCATCTACAAGCATGATCATGCTATCTACTGTTTCCTGACTTCTTATATGTTGGCATTGTTACATTTCGAAGGCTTCGTTCAGGAAATGAAAGTTGGGTTTGGGAGTGGATGGCTTTCCTGATATTTTGGTGTCACGTTGCATTCTTTCTAGAGTTTAGATGCACACAAAAGTTTGGATGCATCCAACTGGCATTCAGGGCTTATGTGCTCTTCTGCTTCAACTTGGAGAAACCCAATTTGGTTGTACCTTAACCAGTAAGAAAACACAACTGGATTAGGCTCAAAACCATCTCTCAATGCAAACTCTAGCAGCATCTGTAAGATGAACCTAATCAACTGGCTCTGTGTTGCAGGGCAAAGTAACACAGAAAACCAAATTGCTTTCGGTTCTTTAAGGCAGCTTTCCCAAACCTGCAGAGGTTCTGGACTACACATTCCAGTACGATAGGCCTTGTAGTCCAGAACGCTGGGCTACCATCGTGGGGAGGCTGCAAGTGGAGCTTTTGTTATCTGTTCATCCATCGACGGCTGCTGCTGGCATAAGGCGCATGAAGTGGAGGACTCATGGGGTCTGGATGATTGACCCAGTTGCCTTCTCTCAGTCCACTTTGCTGCTCTTTGGCCTTCTCTTCTTGCAGGGTCAGTAAGTGTTGGACCTCCTCTTGATCATTCAGTGGGTTCTTGCCATATTCTTGCTGGATCCAAGCCCGGTACTGTAAGGAAAACAACAAAAGTATCAAAGGAACTTAGGCAGGAAGGCAGAGGAGAGACAGAGACCACATTGGGTGAATGCATCTACACTAGGCATGTTGGAAATGACAACCTTCAAGGCTTCTCTAGTAATCTGTTTATCTATGATCCTGTTGTTTACTGTTTCCTGTACATCTGTTCTGATATCCAGCTTCCTTTACTCTATGGGTCCTGAGAAGTTATAAAAGGGGCTGCAGACCACATGATCACTATAGCAGACTACTACAAACTACTACAGACCTTGCTGGTTTTGCACAGATAATTATCTCAAGGTATTCCCTGTAGTAACCTATGGATGTGAGAGCTGGATCTTAGGGAAGGCTGAGCAAAGGAAGATAGATGCTTTTGATCTGTGTTGCTGGAGGAAAGTTCTGAGAGTGCCTTGAACTGTGAGAAGATCCAACCAGTCCATCCTCCAGGAAATAAAACCCGGCTGCTCATTGGAGGGAAGGATACTAGAGACAAAGTGAAGTACTTTGGCCACATCATGCGGAGACAGGAAAGCCTGGAGAAGACAATTATGCTGGGGAAAGTGGAAGGCAAAAGGAAGAGGGGCCGACCAAGGGCAAGATGGATGGATGGCATCCTTGAAGTGACTGGACTGACCTTGAAGGAGCTAGGGGTGGTGACGGCCGACAGGGAGCTTCTGGCGTGGGCTGGTCCATGAGGTCATGAAGAGTCGGAGACAACTGAACGAATGAACAACAAACAAAAGGTAAAGGTTGTCCCCTGACATTAAATCCAGTCATGTTTGACTATGGGGTGTGGTGCTCATCTCCATTTCTAAGCCGAAGAACCAGCGTTGTCCATAGACACCTCCAAGGTCATGTGGCCGGCATGACTGCGTGGAGCGCCGTTATCGCAAACATAACTGATAATTGATAAGCTATCAGATTGATAAGTTTTGTACTTGTGCATTTATTTTATTTATTTACAGCATTTTTACCCTGCCCTTCTCAACCCCTGAAGGGGGGATTCAGAGCGGCTATATGCATGCTGAACACATTTATTTACTTTATTTGTATACCACTCTTCTCAGCCCTTACGCGACTAGATAATTACGTAAGGCAATGGTTTCAGTTGTTAGACTGAATAACCTGTTATCTCTGATCTGTTAGGAAAACAGAGATTTGTCAGTGCATAAAAACATGAAGGTTGAGAGTAAACCAAATATGTTACTTCTATCCTAGTCTACTTCATTTTTGTCTCTTGAGTGCATGGCATAAAACGAGTAGATATATTTTTGGGCACTGCAAAACACTTCTGAAACTCTCCACGGACCGCGGGTTGGGAACCATTGATTTAATTTGTCATTGTGCTAGTTCACAACAAAATTGCACGCATTTTCCCGCACACATCACAAAACCACACACCCATACTCTCACCACCACCACCTCACAGCCCCCAATGCCACATCATAGAATCATAGAATCCTAGAGTTGGAAGAGACCTGGTGGGCCATACAGTCCAACCCCATTCTATCAAAAAGCAGAAAATCACATTCAAGGCACCCCTGACAGATGGCCATCCATCCTCTTTTTAGGCTTGGGCGGTTTCGTTCGTTAATTTCGTAATTCGTTATTAATTCGTATTTAAATTAGCTTACGATCCAATATTGAGCCATGCAGGAATTGTATGAGGAGTAATAAAGATTCGAAACAATTTTTTCAATTTATTTCGTAATTATTTCGTAATTATTTCGTAATTATTTCGTAATTATTTTCGCATGTCTGGTGCAAGTTTTATAGTTGTTGTTTGTTTTATCACACCAACAGTCAACAACAGAGGGAGAGGGAAGCTTCAGAAGTTCCTCCTGTCCCATTTGGAGGTTTTTTTAGCATATTGCGCAATCTCATCCGCCATTAACGAATCGATTCATAATTTTACGAAATTTCATAAATTTTGAAATTTTTTAAAGGAAAATTTTGGAATTATTAAAAAAAACAAAATGCAAGGACCCCCTAAAAACGAAACGAGTTTAGAACCAAATTTTTCCGTGGTTACCCAAGCCTACCTCTTTTTAAAAGCCTCCAAAGGAGTCCCCACCACAAATATCAAGTTCAGTGCGAATTTGACAACTTGCTTGGGAACCGTGGGGGTTGTGGTGTCACAAAGTCTCTAGACTTCTTTGCCAAGGAGTGCTGGTGCCTCACCAAACTAAAAATCCCAGGATTCCATGGCAGTTAAAGGAGTGCCAAACTACATTAATTCTACAGTGTAGATGCACCCTGGGAGAAGCTGCCACTGTGAGCTGCTCCCCATTTCTGGCATGCAGCCAAACAGCATGGCATCTCTATCAACAGGCTCACCTCCTTTTTACATCGAGAGTGAAATACTCATTTCGAACACATTGGTTTCAGTAGTCAATATGCAGATGTTTCATTGCAAGCAAAACAACCAGAAATTTCCTCTGGAAGTCCCCCAAGAGTTGAAGGCATCAATGATCAGGGGAGTCAAATGTACCGCTCTGATTGAAAGGGAGAGTTCACACAGGATCTAACGTGGAGGTGGCGGAGGTGCCCACACGCCTGATGTTTGCATCATGGCATCATCATGTGACCTTTGCTTTGGCTCTCAGCATTGACTGCAATTAACCTATCATCTTTCCCTCTCATCCCCGCTCTCTTTCTTTTCATTATTTCTTCGCTTATTTGCAAATCAAATTCAAAAGCTACACTGACTTGAGCAAACCAGAAGTCATGACTCCACATTATTCAAAACCCAAACTCAAAAAAGTATTGCACTGAAAAACAGAAAAAGAATACTATGCAATCATCCTGTTCTATTATTATATTATTTATTTATTTATTTATTTATTTATTTACTTTGCTTATATACCGCTGTATCTCAAGCCCGAAGGCGACTCACAGCGGTTCACAAACAGTAAAAACAGTAGAAACAGCAGTGGTTCCATACAACATATAACAATTGACTTAACACATTATCCATAAATTACCAATAAGCAATTACAATGCACAATTATTATGAAAAACAACTGTACCCAATCTTCTCATCATCCAAGCGTAGTCCAGGTTCGTCGTCCATTGTTCCATTCCTATGTTCCATTACCAGATTGCACTAAATTACTCAAACGCCTGCACAAACATCCAGGTCTTCACCTTTTTGCGGAATACCATTAGAGATGGTGCTAGTCTAATGTCCGTAGGAAGGGCGTTCCGCAGCCGAGGAGCCACCACCGAGAAGGCCCTATCTCTCGTCCCCGCCAGCCGAGCTTGAGAAGCAGGCGGGATCGAGAGCAGGGTCTCCCCGGAAGATCTCAAAGTCCTGGTGGGTTCATAGGCAGAGATGCGGTCAGATAGGTAGCTTGGGCCGGAACCGTATATTTACTATGATTATAATTATGAATCTCTGTGTGTATATCTATGTATGTATGTATGTGTGTATATATATATTTCTGTATCCCGCTTTAATCTCTGTGATTAAGACAGGAGTATAGGAATAAGATATAGTGTCTAGATCCAGGGAAGTCTTGCTACTGCTCTATTTTGCCTTGGTTAGACCACACCTGGAATACTATGTCCAATTCTGGGCACCACAATTGAAAAGAGATATTGTCAAGCTGGAATGATATTGTCAAGCTGAAATAACCTTTTACAGAGGCTTTCTCCTTGGAAATATTTGTTCAGATGGGCTTTGCCATTGCCTTCCTCTGAGGCTGAGAGAGAGTGACTTGCCCCAAGAGATATTGACAAGCTGGAATGTGTCCAGAGAAGGGCGACTAAAATGATCAAGGGTCTGGAGAACAAGCCCTATAAGGAGCGACTTAAAGAGCTGTGCTTGTTTAGCTTGCAGAAGAGAAGACTGAGAGGAGATTATGATAGCCATGTATAAATATGTGAGAGGAAACCACAGGGAGGAGGGAGCAAGCTTCTTTTCTGCTTCCTCGGAGACTAGGACGCGGAACAATGCCTTCAAACTACAAAAAAGGAGATTCCATCTGAACATGAGGAAGAACTTCCTGACTGTGAGAGCCGTTCATTAGTGGAACTCTCTGCCCCGGAGTGTGGTGGAGGCTCCTTCTTTGGAAGCTTTTAAACAGAGGCTGGATGGCCATCTGTCAGGGGTGATTTGAATGCAATATTCCTGCTTCTTGGCAGGGGGTTGGACTGGATGGCCCATGAGGTCTCTTCCAACTCTTTGATTCTATGATTCTATGTAGAAAAAAGTAGTTGGCTTGGGCCAACTTCAGCCCTCCAAGTGTGTTTTGAACTTCAAGTTGAAGTCCAAAACACCTGGAGTTACCCCAGTTTGCCCATGCCTGCTGCAGATATAGAAAAGACAGCAAAAAGCTCAGTTATTGTCTTGGAACCAGCCAAACTAGCAGTCAAAATGACCCAGTGCCACTTCTGGATCGGCAAAACCCAGCAGCAAGGACGGCTGGAGGAGAGATCTCTTTGCAATTGCCCATTTCTACATGCCATAAAGATTGCCCTGGACTTCCAAAAGGAGTCCCAAAGTTGGAGCGCCAAAGCCAGCTTACCTCCTTTAGCAAAGTCGATTCGTATTCCTGCAACTGCTCCTGGAAGCCGAAGTTGGGGCTGACGTAGGAACGGACGGCTTTGGTGGCAGCCAGGCACTCTTCCCAGCCGAAGTCAGTCACGGTCATGAGGTAGGCCACCAAAAGAGTGGTGCTGCGGGAGACTCCGGCCAAGCTGTGGCGGCAAAACCAGAGATGCGACATCCCCAGTGATGCCCAAAGGAAAAGGACACTCCCACAAGGAAGCTCTGCCTAAAATGAGGTTGCTCACCAGTGAATGAGGCATCCTCCACCATGCAGTCGGCATTCATGAATGAACCTGATGCTCTCCTTAAAATGCTGTATCCTGGAAAAACAGAAGAAAACCTTTGCCTAAATTCATTGCCTCTCAACTGATGAACCTAAGTTGTTTTCTAGCTTGCAGCACCTAGTATTGGTCTTCAAGCAGTAATAATAATAATAAAGTTTGGATTATAGATGTCACCATATCAGGTGACGGTCACATTGAGGAAAAACAACATAAAAAACTCAGCCATGATCAGGACTTCAAAATTGAACTGCAAAGGCTCTGGCATAAACCAGTCCAGATGGTCCCAGTGGTAATCGGCACATTGGGTGCAGTGCCAAAAATCTCAGCCGGCATTTGAAACAAATTGACAAAATCACAATCTGTCCACTGCAAAAGGCCACCTTACTTGGATCTGCGCACATCATTTGAAAATACATCACACAGTCCTAAACGCTTGGGAAGTGTTCAACTTGTGATTTTGTGATAAGAAATCCAGCAGCTATATCTTATTTGCTGTGTCATACTGTGTTTTTGTGTCAGTAAAGTAATAATAATAATAATAATAATAATAATAATAATAATAATAATACACTTTATTTACATTCCGCTCTATCTCCCCTAGGGGACTCTGAATGGATTACTGTATACACATGTATAGGCAAACATTCAATGCCCTTTTATACAGTGAACAGCAATGACATTCAATACACAAACAAAGGGAAAGGTTTCCCTTTTAAACTCCAGTGTCTGGAGCTAGTTCTCCAACCTCCATGGGGAGGTGCTCTTGTTCCAAGGACCCTGTTGTCTGTAAACCCCTCCTGGTTGTGTGTTGTCGGCACAGCTACATGGATACCTTTTAAATTCCACTGAGGTAGTACCTATTGATCTACTCACATTTGTATGTTTTCGAACTGTTAGGTTGGCAGGAGCTAGGGCTAATAGTGGGAGCTCACCCTGGCCTGCGGCTTCAAACTGCCAGCCTTCCGTTCAGCAAGTTTTATGGAGCTAGCAGTTTAATCCGCTGCGCTACCACAGGTTAAAGTTTAGCTTCCAAGTACTGTAGCCTCCAGCATTTCACAGATGAAATCCAGGATGTATGTGGTCAAGCAATATCAGAGTGTGGTCAAGAGGGCAAAAGGGATCAATGAGGAAGAAAACATAATCGAGGACAATGTTTCTCAACCTTGCTGCAACCCCTTAATACAGTTCCTCGTGTTGTGGTGACCCCCAGCCATAACATTATTTTCGTTGCTACTTCATACCTGTAATTTTGCTACTGTTATGAATCGTAATGTAACAGGCAGGATGTATTTTCATTCACTGGACCAAATTTGGCACAAATACTCCATGCGTCCAAATTCGAATACTGATAAGTTTGGGGTGGGGTTGATTTTGTTATTTGGAAGTTGTACTGGCTGGGATTTATAGTCCACCTACAATCAAAGAGCATGTTGAACTCCACCAACGATGGAATTGAACCAAACTCAGCACACAGAACTCCCATGACCAACAGAAAATTCTGGAAGGGTTTGGTGGGCATCAACCTTGAGTTTTGGAGTTGTGGTTCACCTACATCCAGAGAATATTGTGGACTAAAACAATGATGGATCTGGACCAAACTTGGCACAGATACTCAATATGCCCAAATGTGAACACTGGTGGAGTTTCAGAATGTGTTCAGAAGAGTGACTTTCCCCAAACTCTGAGAAAATGCAAAGAAAGTTCATAGTTCTAGAACAGGCATGGGCAAGCTTCAGCTTTCCCTCCAGCTTAAGGAGCTGAGGGGGGAAAGGAAAGGGCCTGAGGCTGTTAGGAATCGTGGGAGCTGAAGTCCAAAACACCTGGAGGGCCAAAGTTTGCCCGTGCTTGTTCTACGAGGAGCGTTCATTAAAGATTTCCCCTGGCACACTTCTATTTTTCACAGGATGCTGAAACTTCCCATGTATAATGATATAAGTCTCAATTGGTTACGTGCCAATTTCCAACTCAGAGCTGATAACACTTTTGATTTGACAGGTGCTGAAGTTTGATAATGGATCAAGTGGAATAGAGAACAGTCCTCAAGTTCCTTTCCTTGAAAGGCTGCACATCAAAGGAGACGTTTGATGAGATGAAAGAGGTTTCTGGTGAGAATTCCCCATCATATGATGGAGTCAAGAACTGGCATCATCAATTCCAATGTGGTCGGACTTTGGTGCAAACAGCTCTAATTCCAGGGCAACCCCTCTCTGCTACTGATAAACACACAATCCAGCAAGTGGAGGTCGCCATTTTGGAAAATCGCACCGTAACCATTTGCCACCTAGCCCAAAATGTCAAGGTGAGTGTGGAGTCCATGGAAAAAATCACCCAAGACCATCTTCACCTCATAAGGTCTCTGCTCGCTGGGTCTTCTGGCTTCTCATACCTTTCCAGAAGCAGGAGTTCTCAGGCTCTATTGACAATGATGTGCCATGGAAACCAGGAGGACATTTTCCACAGACTGATCACACAGGAGGAAAGCTGGGTCCATCACGATGATCCTGAGACTCAAGTCCAGTCAATGCAATGGAAACATCAGGACTCACCACCTCCAAAGATGGCACGTGCCCAACTCTCAGCAGGCAAGATCATGCTCACAGTATGGGACCAGCATGGAGGAGTATGGATGGATTTCCTAGCAAAGAGTACCTTGATCACTGGGGCAGACTAGGCTTAACTGCTGCAGAAATTGCAGGAGGCCATCTAAACCAAGAGACAATGTGGCATGCTCACCAAAGGTGTCTGCCTTCTGCAAGACAATGCACAAGCTCACAACTCACCTGTTGCCCAAATAGAAGAAGCATGCTCCTGTGGCATGCTTCTACTGTAGTTCCCTTATCCATCCGATCTCATGGACTTCTACCTCTTTTCAACAAGGAAGTTCTTTTTCAAGGGCAAACCTTTTTTAGAAGATGAGACTCTGATTTCCAAAGTCATAACATGGCTTTTGGAGCAACCTGTTGACTTCTACAAGCGAGGTGTTTACAGTTGCTTAAAAAGAGGAGAGAAGTGTGTATCCCTAAGTGGCACCCATGGAGAGAACAGCTCGGAACTGAGCCAAGTCTCATTGCTCTCAGTCCACAGGAAGTGGGTCTGGGGAAAACTTTCATGAAGGCCCCTCATAGATCAACAAGCAAAGGGTTCAGGGTTTTGATTTGGTGTTTTGAGCAGCCTTGCCATTTGAGAAGCCAACCATTCCTTCCACCCTTTGATACAAGGGCAACATGTCCCAGAATTCACTACCCATATTTCAATCTCAAATTCGTTCAAATCGGCCCCTTCTCCTTTTGCTTCTCAGAATGCCTTTTCTAAGTACACCAGGATTGTGAAATAAGTCTTAAATCACTATGCAAAAAATAGCCTTTTCGGAGCAAAACTTCCTTTCTTTGGCCCATTGCTTGGAAGCATGCTATGATTGCACACATTTTCTCTTTCAAAAAAGGCAAAGGATGGAGTGGAAAACTAGCTTCCCAAATCATGCTGAAGATGGGTTTTGTTGCATTTCTCGGGATGTTTTACTCATTGGAGAATTCGTAACCTAATCTTGGAATAGCTCCTTGGAATAGCACCTATTTTCTCCAAGTCATCATGGAAAGCATACTGAAAGTATAGGAACCAGTGAGCCTTAAATTAAGACTTAGGGTGCATCTACACCAGGCATGGGCAAACTTGGGCCCTTCAGGTGTTTTGGACTTCAGTGCCCACAATTCCTTAGAGCCGGTGGGAGTTGTGGGAGTTGAAGTCCAAAACTCCTGAAAGGCCAAAGTTTGCCCATGCCTGATCTACACTGTAGAATGAATGCAGTTTAACATCATTCCCTGTCAAGGCTCAATGCTATGGGATCCTGGGAGTTGTAGTTTGGTGAGCCAAAGACTTTGTAAAACTACAACTCCCAGGATTCTAGAGCATTGAGCAATGGCAGTTAAGGTGGTGTCAAAATGCTTTAATTCAGTGTAGATGCACCATTAGAGTCACTCTGAGAACAACTGGAAGGCCACGCTTTGCTCAACCTGATCATAAACAAAAACAAGGGAATTGTAGTGTGGTCTTAGGTGGAGATAACAGCAAGAACTTACAGGTTTTGATTGGAGGAGTCCGAGGCTGATATACAAAGGTAAGTCATGTCCTGAAATGGAAGCGAAAGAGTAATGACTTATAGGTTCAAATGTTCCAAGTTTCTCTGATGTTTCCAAAAGGAAACTAGGACCCCTTTCTACGCTCAGGCCTGTAGCAAGGGGGGGGGGTTAGGGGTTCAACCCCCCCCCTCGAAATTTTTCAGGTTAAAAAAAATCCTGGTTTACTCATGAATTTTAACTGGTTAACCAAATCCCCATGCTAAGTCTATGAGACACAAAAAAATTAAGAGTCCCTCCAGAACTGCAAGCACTATCTCAAGCAAATATTGACAATTTATTCACACTGTCATTACTTGCAGCAATAGCTGATGTAGCAAAGCAACCAAGTTGGGGGGGGGGGTGTGTTAAGGAGGCCAGACTTGGTGGAGGTGGTTGACAGGGGCAGAGCTGCAGGCTATTGAAGGCTGCTCTGCCCCCTGCTGTGCTCTTTGCTTCAGCGTGAGCTAGGAGGCAGGTTTCAACCCCTCCCCCCCCGAAATTTTCAACCCCCCCCCGAAATTTTCAACCCCCCCCATCCCGAAATTTTCAACCCTCCCCGATTTTTTTTTCTGGCTACGGCCCTGTCTACGCTGCCATATAAAATCCAGATTATCTGCTTTGAACTGGATTATATGACAGCGTAGACAAATACAATCCAGTTCAAACTAGATAATGTGGGTTATCTGCTTTGATATTTTGGATGATATGGCAGTGTAGGACACAACAGATTTAAACTACAGGAAAGAATATTCTACCAAAACATTAAGGCCCCTTCCACACAGCTGTATAAAATCCACATTGAACTGGATTCTATGACAGTGTGGACTCAGATAACCCAGTTCAAAGCAGATAATATGGATTATCTACCCTGATATTCTGGGTTATGTGGCTGTGTGGAAGGGCCCTAGGAAGCACTTCTGGATGTTAAGAGTTGACCAACAGAGGAATAGGCTTCCTCAGAGGGTGATGGACTCTCTTTCTTTGCATGTCTTTAAAGGAAGATTGAATGGCTACCTGTTAGGAGTGCATTAGCTGGGGACGGACTAGGGGCCCTTCCACACAGCCCTATATCCCAGAATATCAAGGCAGGAAATCCCACATTATCTGAGTGTGGACTCAGATAACCCAGTTCAAAGCAGATCTTGTGGGATTTTATGCCTTGATATTCTAGGATATAGGATTGTGCAGAAAGACCCTAGATCAGGTGTGGGCAAACCCAGGCCCAGTGGGTGGATGCGGCCTGTTGGGCTCTTTTCTCAGGCTATCCTCTCTCACACTGTTCTGTCATGTGCTGGGCCTGTAAAGAATTTCCTTTAGAACAGGACGTGAAACCTTTGCCCAGCGGGAAGCCAGGGGGCCCAAGGAGAAGTTCTCAGAAGTTTTACACCACAAATGATCTTTAGATGGCTTGTGAAGTATAACAAAGTCTTTTATTAATGAACAATCAAACAGAAACTTCTCTTGTCTTCAATAAAGCTAAACAAATGCTTCCAGACTTTATGCAGCTGGTAGCTTCCTAACCTTGCCCACGAAGGACAGGCAACTGTCTTCAATAACTTCTTCTTTACTTTAAATGGAAAATCCCCTTTTTAA